GATGACGGCCACAGAGACTGGCGAAACGTTAGGAAGAAAAACCTTCAGAACACTGCCAAAGAGCCCGAAAAACCCACAACAACCAAATACAATCTTAATTCAAGCTGTCAGTATTCATCAAATTTATATCTAGCATTTGTATGTGTGATTGTATGAACCATTCTGAAATACATGAAATTCTTACTTGACTTTTAGCTGCAGCTCCAATTGAACGGTTCTTGGGTCCAAATGCTATACATGACCTACAATGAAAGAAGAGTGTTCAGTTCAGCATATAGATTGAATGAAAACATTTTTTCCAAATACAGAAATAAACCAGTGAGCAAACTTGAGTGATGTGAACCTAATTAATGTTTTAATTAGGGTGGATATGATTAGAACTGGGGTGGATAAAAAGCAATAATTTTTTAACATCAAGTTGATTTAAATCACAATTTAAATTCAAAAATCAGATTTTTAGTGATTTAAATAAAAATCATTTTTATTTCAAATAATTTAAAATCAATTTGATTTTTTTTAAAAAATTGACTTTTATCCATCCTAATTCTAATAAAACAGATCTATTTACAAGGATCCACTCTTTAACTCTAAGACAACAACAAAAAGCTCCATAACAGGTGTCAATCTCTTAAATTAAAACTGCCCTCAAGGAGAAATTTGATTTGATGGGAAGTCACTATTTATTATTTATGCCAAGAAGCCAACTTTTTGCTGGCATTCATAGACTCCTATGTGATAGACCCCCCCACTCAACTTTGCACACTGCTTGTGGGTACAGATGCAAATACTACCCATCAAGTAGCAAAAATTGCTTTGGAAGCAAAGAAAATAAGTGCCAAGCATTAAAAGTCTTAAAGAAGGGAGGTTATGTCATCTTAAATTTATGTAAAGGTATATGGGGTCAGTGTAATTTTGTGTTGCTGTTGATATTGTGGTGACCTATGGTTTTAAACAATAAAGCTTGTTCTGTCCTGTTATTTATGCTCTTGCATACTGAATTATACAACCGCAGCACAACCTAACACAAGCTTTCTCCAACCAGTATAGTTTGCTTCATTTCATAAGCAAACTCTTTCCTACTGAAATAATTATAACAAGTCATTGTGTTCCTAGTTTGGATCCTACACTTGTCTTCTGTTTCTCAGGGATGGGCAATTCGTCTAGCAACTCTTGAAAGAATCTCCCAATCTTCAAATGTAGTTTTTCATGGAATACAAGAGATTGCACAGGAAAAACCAATACAGTTAAGGGAAATTAGATTCCACTCAGCTCAGCAAAGAATAAAATAGTATCATTGGATTAACAACATCGTTGTGTGAGGCACCAGTGTAGTATCATTGGATTAATCTGAACCTTGAAATGCGAACCTGATGCAAAATGTTACAAAACCAGATTGCTGGCTGTTTTACTGCAATTAGGCAAAATGAATTTTAAGTATAGCGGTGCCCCGCTTGACGATTACCCCGCTTGCTGATGAATCTGCTTTACGAGTTTTTTGTGATCGCAAAACGATGATTCAAATGTTTTTTCATTTGACGACGATTTTCCGCTTAACGACGATCACAAACAGCTGATTGTCGGGTTTTCAAAATGGCTCCCTGCTGTGCAAAATGGCTCCCCGCTGCGTTCAGGATGGATTCTTCGCTTTACAGGCACTGGAAAATGGCCGCCCTATGGAGGATCTTCGCTGGATGGTATTTCCCTCATTGGAACGCATTGACCAGTTTTCAATGCATTTCAATGTTTTTTTTTTTCGCTTGACGACGATTTCGCTCTACAGCTATTTTGCTGGAACGGATTATCGTCATCTAGCGGGGCACCACTGTACTAAGACCCATTTGAGATTAATGAACCTTGTTCTTCACTTCTAATGTTAAGTGCCACTTATTTAAATTATTCTACTGTAGCTGGGACCAACCTTGGATTCAGCTCATTGTTACTACATCAACAGTTCCACAAATTAAAATATTTTAGACTATATAGAATACTGCATGGAAATATGAGTACCCACTCCACACATAGTGTGTGTGACTGGAACACTATGATACAATAAAATACCATGTTCTATGCTGCTGGTAAATCCACTCACTCTTCCAATGAATATGATGATGAATCATTCTTGTTAAAAATCAACATTTTTATTAATTTTTTTTGAGTTTTAGTGAAAATTTTGATACAAGCCTACTGCAAATTTCACTTGCCATGGCTAATCATATAAACAATCGTCTAAAGAGGTCTTGAGCAACTTTACCTAATTCATAGGCATGTCAGTATTTTACATTTATAGTATAACAGTCCTCTGGAAGTTCACTTGCACTTCAAACTCTGCAAATCCCTTTCAAGTAACAAAGATTTCATCATGGACAGTAAAACACTGAAGTATGAAAAAAAAACAGAATATTCATTTACCTACACATAATCTTTTTCCAAGACTACCAGAAAGACTGCCCAGTGACTTAATGGGGACCACATACACAACAACTACAATCATTTTTAATACCCTTGATACTTTTTTAATGGATGGTTAACTTCCTGGATTAGAGAAATGCCTGCATTTACTAAAAACAGTATTCATGCCCTTGTCTATATTTGTAACAGCACAGATGCATACAAGTGTAATCCAGGTCTACTGCTTCATACTGCTGTGACTGTGAGATAGTTTTATGAGTTATAGGCCAAGATCCTATTAACATAGTAAATCATACCAGACTAGGCCCATTTGACTCAATGAAAGTTAGCAAAGAGTTGACTCACCAGGTCCCCATTGATTCAATGGGCATATTCTAGTGAAATTTACCACACTAGACAAGATTCTGGCCACACATTCCTGGAAAATAAGCACCGTATTATCCCTTCTCAAATGAAAGTTGTAAAATGGTATTGCTTCTTGGGTATCTGCTGTGAATATGGAGTCCAATTCCAAGACCAGAGTTCCTGGATCACATATGCCATTCCCCACAAACTGAAACAACTAATGGTTGTTGTGGGTTTTCCGGGCTCTTTGGCCGTGTTCTGAAGGTTGTTCTTCCTAATGTTTTGCCAGTCTCTGTGGCCAACATCGAGGACAGGAGTCAGAACTCTGCGCTCTGGTCAGAGATCCGACGCCTGTCCTTCAGGAGTCAGAACTCTGTCTGCGCTCTGGTCAGAGATCCGACTCCTGTCCTTTGAAGACACCGGCTACAGAGACTGGCGAAACATTAGGAAGAACAACCTTCAGAACATGGCCAAAAAGCCCAAAAAACCCACAACAACCATCAGATGCCGGCCGCCTTCGAGAATTCATGAAACAACTAACTTCATCCTAAGTCTCAGGTAATGTTATCAAATAATAGAAAACATGAAAATGGCAGCTACCACAAAAGAGAAACCCTTATGTAGCTGAAGAGTTTCTCAAACTTTGCAAAAGTGAAGGATGACATAGTCAATAAGAGGCTGATGCACCATGCCCTACATAATCCACAACAAATTTAAAAGGAAAAACATGAAGGAACTTAAGAGGAGAAAGCAGTCTTGACAGCTCCAAAGGAGACAAAATCACCAAAATCAAGCCAATCAAGTACCTCTAAAGTAGACTCTGAGGTGGGATTGAGCGAAGGGGAGTTCTCCCACATAAAGACAGAAGGAGCTCTGGATGAAGCTTGTTCATAACCATGGAGTGCCTGTCCCTTTTCTGTCTGTCTCTTGGCCTTAAGTATTGGTTGCAGAGAAGTGGAAGCTACTTTCATGTGCTGCTAGCCCCAAACCATAGGGGGCTGAAAGAAAAGTATAGTGGGCTGAAAGGGTGGCATTCTTCTTTCATTACCAAGCCCACTAACTCACAGGCTTTGATTTTGTTATTGTCACCCACAGCAATTGGCCAAGTTATTGAATTGCACTTCTAAAGCTGCAGACCTAAGCTCATCAGCTAAGGCAGGGGTCCCCAAGGACCGGGCCACAGAGACAGATCTCCTGCCCCCCCCCCGCAGATGCATGTACACCCCTCCCATGCAGGCATGGCCCCTCCCACATAACACAGCCCCTCCCATGCATACATGGCCCTTCCTACGCCTGCCTGCTCCCATGGCCCCTCCCATGCATGCACGCCCCTTCCCACGAATGCATGGCCTCTCCCACAGCCCCCCATGCATGCAGATACCCCACTCCACCCCCCACACTCTAAACCGGTCCATGGAGGTAAAAAAAGGTTGGGGGCCACTGAGCTAGGGGATAATTCCTAATAGAGTAGTACCTTGGTTTAGCGACACCTCGGTTAACGTAATTTTTGGTTTACAAACAGAAGTACACTGAAAATACTGGAGATTTATAGCATTGCCCCCATTCCTATGGCAAACTGCATGTTTACAAATTTTTCGCATTACTCCTGGAGAACGCATTAAATTCGTAAACCGAGGTACATCTGTACAATGAAACTACTGTTGTTGCTGTTTTAAGAAATGCTGTTACATTTGAGCAGTAATGCCAAAATCTTAAGGAAAGTTTTTTAAATGCAAGAAAGCCCTATTGAAACCAGGACATACTTTCAGGAAACAGTATTAAATTATAACCAAGCAGTGACTAAACTTCCTTTATGATTTAAGGAGAAAACTCAGGGTAAAAATATTTTAAATAAATAAATTTCAAGCAGACATGCACTGTGAGAATGAACAAGTTTATGTGATGGCATTTATAAAATCTGTTTTGATTGTCACTGTTGCCAAGTTACTGAAAACAGAGCACCAGAAACTTCGTGATGCACTTGCTATAGGAGATGAGTATACACTGTGTGAGATCTCTAGTAAAGATTTTGTTCACTACTGTCTGTTCATAACCTGAAAGTCTACTAATAAATGGCACACCAATGACAGTCCTAATGACAAAGACTTCTGTACAATCCTTTCAGATAACAGAGTACTGTCTAATGCTGACAAAATGCAACAAACTCTGACATTTACCGGTAAGTTTTCTGAGACAGATATGTGTCACAAACTCTGACTGAAACTGCCAAAACTAATGGAGGGTAACATTAGCCAATGAGAAGACAAGGAACTGAGTTATCCATGTGTAAATATATAGATATAGGCTAGTGATGGCGAACCTATGGCACGCGTGCTGCCTGTGGCACGCGGAGATGTCTCCCTTGGCACGCAAGCAGAGCACTACCCTCCCGCTACCACCCCACACCACCGCCAAAACTCAAACTATCGTCAGCCACTTGTTCTTGCTAATTTCCTGGGTTCCGGCACTCTTTCTTTAAGAGATCTCT